GGGGGGGGGGGGGGCGGGGGGGGGCCACGACACAAAACCTAATTACTAAATTTCACGAGGGTATTCCTTAAAGGTGTCATCTTCTCTGACTCTTTTGAAAGAAAAGGACTTTTCAAAGGAAAATAGAAATGCTTATATGCCTAACTAATTAAACAGTTTGTTGCATTACAGTGGGGCTTCTATTCCATCAACGCAATGAAGATGTGGCTTTAGCGGGACTTTACACTTTAAATTTAAAGTATGAAATTGAATCTTTTCTCAGATGGCCCTATTGAATATGGAGATTCAGTAAGTATTATGCCCTTACACTTCAGTAAAGGATAATGATACAGGGAATGGATTTGGTTGGCAGTTTTTGGTTCCCAAAATAATCTGAAGGATAGACTCATTTATTGTTCAAGTGTATCCTGTTGATGATAGGATTAAACAGCACACTAATGAAATGAATTGGCAATGTGGAATTAGAAGCCAGTCAGAACACAGGAATTATATGAAGGGAACTACATACATGGGAGAGAAATTAAATTAAACTTGGAAAAATGACCTTTTGCATAGCTAAGTGAAATAATCCAAAATGCACTAACTCAAAAGATGTCTGGTTTAAAAAATAGTTTAAAATATGTGTAATAGCTGACAGCAAATTAGATATGAAGTGGCAAGTTAAACAAGGCAAAGCTGTCATTTCAGTTTCAGACACTATATGCAAAAGAAGTTTAGAGATAGTTTTTTATTATGGCTTTAGTATGATTACACTTCTGGGCACACTGCTATGAGGGAGATGTTGGGAAAACTGGAGGGAATTTGGAGTATAATGGTATTACTAACACTATAGGAATGACTCATGAGAAAAAGATATAAAGGATAAAATACAAACCTTAACTGAGTGATGATGAAGAGGCAATACTGTTTGCATAGGTGAAAAGGCATAAATGTAAGGGGCAGAAATGAATTAATGAGATGCAGGAAGAAAAATTTGAAACTAACACAAAATACAGGCTGGATATGGGGAGAAATGGCATGAGCCTGAGGTGGTTTATGTTCCTGAATCGTTTCCAACCCACACCTTGTGATTTTTACAGTGAATTCACTCAAAGCAATAAAAGATATAATCTGGTGGGAGATAGGACGGGATCCCATCAGATTGTCCAGTTTCTCTCTGATTACCCATCAAGGCTACCAGGAATGCTGCAGCACTTTGCTAAAATTTCTGTCCTCTCTTTAAGAGCCCACTGGGTGCACTGATGAGGCAAAAGGCAGGAGAGAATTGCCTGCTGCAGATTACTAGTAAGATTGGTGGCAAAACAGGGAGGAGAGTTGTAGGAGACTGAGCCCCCACCAAATAGGATCCACTAGACAGTGCATAAAATTGCAATACCCTCCATTTGGTGATAAGGCAATATCCCCTTTATAAGGCTGTATTTAGGGGGTTTTTATCAGTAATCAATGATGTCCTGGGAGATGAGGTTGGGACACTCTTCCTGTGTGACAGCCAGGGTGGAGAACAAACCAAACATCTTGGAATCAGAGCTGGTTTCCTGCAGGAAAAAAGGCAACTAGGGTCAAACCTAGAGCGTGGTGGCTGTTCTTAAATACCTTATGAATCATATGAAGCTCATCTCAGTGTTTCCTAGAAAATTATGATGTCACTAACATATCATCTGAAATGCCTCTAAATTATAAGCCTGGCAGTCCAAACAGCAGTTAATGACTGTCAAACAGCAGACAAAAATAGGAGACAAACAACAGTTTGACATGAGATTGTGATAAGAGACTTGTCAAGCTACAGCAGTCTTGCCTCTCGGCCAGTGGAGGCTCCCATCCACCTTGGCATTTTACTTGTTCTTTGCCATCTGATCCTTTTTACTGTGCTAGCAAGGTGCTGTTTCTGATGTCGTTTTCCTGCATTGCCCTGATTTCTGGGTGGCAAAACTTACCACTGCTTCTACAGATGGCAAATCCCTAGAAATGAGTATACCACATGGTGCTACTCCCATCTTAAATCTGATGCAGGGCTGGGGTCAGATGTTCTCAGCTGTGATTTATCCCAGCTGAGGATCTGGCCATGCAGCTTCATGCAGGGATGGTCTGATGGCAAACCTTCGTGCCTTTTGAACTGCAGACTAGTAGGATATTTGAATAGTGAATACCAGATGCATGCCATGCTTTTCATTTGGCTGGTAACTTTACTGATGTACTTCATGTTTTAAAGCAAAGCCCCTTCCGTGTCCTCCTGGTGGCAGTAAAAATGTTGACTAGCTTGAGGTAGAAAATCCTCTTGCAAAAGGAGCAAACGTTTTTGAAAATAATATGCATGTACAGTTCAGGACTATGTTTATATTTTGGGAGTAGCTGAGGCTTGCATATGGTGCAAGGGCACAGAGAAACACATTGTCCAGCTACTTATGAATAAAAAATGAGCAATGGTGGCATAGAGAGCTGTCTTATCGGCAGTTCCCCTGGTTGAAGACTACTTGTCCTCTTAAAGCTGGCTTTGGGGATTTTGCAATTTTAATTGCAACTTGTTTGGAGTCCTGGTCCTGAGCCTTGCCCCTTGGAGAGAAAGCCTTTTGCAGGTGCTCAACTTTCCTTTACTGCTTTTATAATATAAATGAACAGGCCAAAATCTTGGCAGTGAGGTGAAGTGGAGGAGGCAGCTCCAGGTAAGAAGGGTTTTGGTCAACCTTGACTTTCTGCTTGTGCACCTGCAAGGCTGGGGTTTTGTCTTTATTGGCTTATCTGGAGCTAGTCCCCTCGGGAAGAACTGATATGGGAGAATGAACCTCCAAGAATTAATTTCTCATACTTTGGGGATTTATGTCTTTATTTTTTTAGGAAGATGAAGCGGGTGACAACTAGGGCTCTGACGGGTAAAAAACCTCAGTGAAAACTTCCACGAAACTAGTTGTCAGCACTGGATTCAAAGCTGTGCTCTGGTGGTGACCTGAGGTAAAATACACCTGAAAACCATCTTTCTATTGGCTCCATGATGGAGTTTCTGGCATTCTTGCTTCCCTGGCCGGGGACGAGCCTACCTCTCAGGCTTGCCCGCCTTGTGACATCGCGGCTTCCCCAGCTCCGTGGGCTGGGGAGTTTTTGGGACCGGGACCCGTGGCGGCTGCGGGGAGAACCGGGGCTCCCCGTCCCCCCTCAGCGGGCTCCCGGTGGCCCGAGGGACGCCTCGCAGGGACGGCGTTGCCGCCCGCTCTCCCCCGCGGGCAGCGCGGGTCTGGGGGGGGGGGGAGGGGGGGGTTCCCGCAGGGCGGCCATTTTAGCTGCGGTCCCCGCTGCGCCCCGGGGCGCCCTGAGGCGCGGCGGGCGCCGTCCCCCGCACGGGATGGCGGCGACGGCGGCGG